ATAGTATGCATGTCTTTTCAGCACTTGTTAGATAGAGGCTGCAGGACCAGGAGTTCAGGGTGGTTCTTGGCTCTGTAGTGAGTTCAAGATCAGTTTGGTCTATATGAGACACTGTGAAAAAGTAGTAATTTTAATTAAAATGTAGAAAATAGTTAAGTAAGTATAATGGGTGGCAGGGAAACAGTCAAAGTTGGGTGAAAAATAGAATATTTGTAAACTATATGGAGTTTCTATCTGCAGTATGTTAGACAAACTGGCTTGCTAAGAGATACTTGAGTTAAAGCAATATTTGGAGCTGGACACAGAGATGCATATTTGTTATCTCAGTACTCAAGACGTGGGGGTAGAAGGATTCTGATTTCAAGGCCATCCTTAACATAATAGCCAGTTCAAAGCCATTCTGGGTTACAAGAGATCCTATATTTAAAACAGAAAGTGATATTTTGTGTCTACTAAGAACTAGTGGCGGTGCAAGCCTTTAATCCCAGCACTTGGGAGGCAGAGGCAGAGGCAGGCAGATCTCTGTGACTTTGAGACCAGCCTGATCTACAAGAGCTAGTTCCTGGACAGCCTCCAAAGCCACAGAGAAACCCTGTGTAGAATCGCCCCCCCCCAAGGAATAGTTATTTAATGTCAGTGAAAATCAGAGCTTTAATGGTTAGCAAAATGGGCAGAATGTAAAAGAGCAAGTATGTATTGATTATGGTTTTGGATAATATATATTTTAGGTAAGTACTTTCCTTTGTAATTCACCTATACTCAGAGAGACACATCTGGAGTGTACACATCTATTTTCAGCGAATATTTTTGAGTCAGGGAGTGAGGGTCAGGCAGATGAGACAGACCCACAGGGTTCAGTTTACATATATATATATATATATATATATATATATATATATATATACATACATACATACATATCCCCTTTGGTCTTTTTGGAAAACTTGTAATTAGGAAAATAGATTAAAATAGAAATGCAGTGCTACGGAGATGGCTAAGCAGGAAAGGAACTTGCTGCCAGGCAGGGTGACATAAGTTTGATCTCTGGAACCTTGAGGTGCGGGTGTTGGGATGTGGGGTAGGGGTGGGGCTATCTCTGAGACCACCACAGCTAGCAGAGTAACAATCTGAGGGAGGCAAGAAGTTGGTTCGGTTCAACACGACGAAGTAGCCAGTGTTGATTCACAAAATAGGTTCTATGGATCGGCTGAGAAAAACAAATTTACAATCAGGGTCTGGGGGAGGATTATGTTCAGTCTTGGCCATACAGACAGTGTAAAGGTCATCAGGCTATTAGCTAAGTCCATTCCCAGCCTTCTGGGCAGGTAACAGGTCAACACCGGGTGGTTAACATTTCAGATTTCCCCAGTGCTTCTCTGTGAGCACACAGACCCCAAGGCGTCCTACAGAACCCATAGGATGAAAGGAGGGAAATGACTCATGCAAATTGTTCTCTGGCCTCTACACTCATACACTGAGGCAAGGCACATCACCATCTACCTACCTACCTACCTGCACACACACACACACACACACACACACACACACACACACACACACACAGAGTAAATAAATAATAAATGTAAAAATGATTTGAAAATGTAAAAACAAAAATGTAACCCAACTGACAAAATTTATGTACATCTATTATATTAGAAGGGTGTACAAACTATATTGACTTGTTGAGCAGAGTATATTTAGATTAAAACAATTATTTTGGTTTTCTGTCTCAAATTTCTTCCAAATTAATCATGCAGTTTTATCTTCAGTTCAGGCAGGAAGTGAATATCTAGTTTGGGGCTTAGAGACTGTAGAAAATCTTGTGTTTAGAGAATCGCTGCCAGTGGGTTGTAAATTCTAGAAAGATCTGGCTTCAGTCAGCAGTCTAAACCCCGCCTTTCCCCTCTTGTATTCCATTTGAAAAGCTTCAGGATCTGAGCCTTTCAGAACTGCAATTTTGTTTTTGACCACCAGGTGGCAGATGTCGGCATTGTCCCTAATTAAACAACATAAGATTGCTTGTGTGTGTGTGTGTGTGTGTGTGTGTGTGTGTGTGTGTGTGTGTGTGTGGTGTGTGTGTGTATGTGTGTTTGATTCAAAAGCAAATGCTTTTTAAAAAAAATCTAATCACATTAGAAAGCATATGGTCAAAACAAACAAAAAACCTCAACACTCCTCCCTAATTAAAAACAAAACAAAAAATGCCTCAAACATATACACATCTTTTGGTAATAGACGATGATACAACAATGAATGCAAGGGAAACAGAAACCCAGTGCTTAGTTTCTAATGTAGGGAGCCGCCGGTGTTTGCGGCTGCAGCGCTACAATGCTTTACAACGATCCGAAGCGAAGGGCTAAGGATGTGAATGAAGACAAAGACAGTGGCTCATTCTTACAAGGAGAATGGCGTTTATTATTACAAGGGTGGAGCCTTATATACCAAAGGCAGGCATGCTGGAAAATCACCAAAGTCAGAAGCCTACGTTCCAAGGGCCCTCCAGCAAAGGGTGGACCAAAAAAGGAATTAGCATTTAGACAATAAGTATGGACTGGACAGAAAACAGGAACTTGCATGCAGGCCTTACTGGGAGGAGGGCACGAGAAGTGTTTTGCTAGAAGGTCCTAGACACAAGCGGTCAACAGACCCCCATGGGGGAAGGGTGCAACAAATCCCCCTTTTTTATATAATTAAAAAAATGAGCATCTGGCTTAGGTTGCCTGGGACGTTAACATCTATCTTACCCGTCAATGAAAAGTCTGTCCAGGACTCACAGACCCTTTGTCTTAGGTTGATATATTCTAACTTCTAAACAAGTACGCCTCACACTTATTTAAAAATATTTTGATAATAAGATGTATTGACAGGATAAATGCTTTACTGTAAATAAAAACTACAAGATTCCAACGACAGCCTTATAGCTAGTTAACGGTGTTCTCAAATATGAACAGTTAGCTATTGTTCTCTAAACATGTATATATGTTACCTTAAAAGATGCCTGCTAAAAACTGAGTGTACTTAAACGGGTCTTAATGAAGAAGGACTTTCATGATATGAACAATATTTTAGTTCATAGTATGTATGATAGGACTATGACGCAATATGGCCATTAACAAAAGTCACAGAAGAGCTTATTGCTCTACCTTCTATGTACAACAAACAGCTGCATTACAGGAAACACGACCATGTGATCCACTGACCTTCACTCACATCTGTAACACTTTTACTCAGCAGAGAATACGTCATGAATCTTTTCTGCAAGAATTCAAGTATTGGATGTGCAGCTTCCCATTATATCACTATGTTTTGCCTTAGTTTCCAAGGACACAGAACAATGTAGTGAAATATGAGGTCCACATTGAAAATAAAGCCCACAGAGAAGTTCCGGAGCTAGAAAAGATTATTCATATAGCACATGGTGATCTCCAGAGTCCAAAATATTGAAACAAAGTCTATGTATGCGTCTTGTTTGTTTTTCAATGCATGCTAACTTGACTGAGGTGAAATCACAATTTTAGTTCTTCAGTCAGTAAGTGGACACAAATGTCTTCCTGCCCAGTTAGTAAAACACAGGAGGCCAGCTGGGCAGTGGTGGCTCACACCTTTAATATCATCACTAGGGAGGCAGAGGCAGTCAGATCTCTGTGCGTTTGAGGCCAGTCTGGTCTCCTGAGTGAGTTCCAGGATAGCCAGGGCTGTTACACTGAGAAACTCTGTCTTGAAAAACCAAATCAAACAAACAAACGAAACAAACAAACACTGTTCCCCAAAAGACAGGAGATGAAGTTGAACATGCCAAAATGGCGTCTCCAGTCGGATATTTTAGCATCTTGAAAATATCAGAGAAGGGATTTCCTTGGTTGGTTTCCATAGCTTGATAAGCAAAAAAAAACAAAAAACAAAACAACAACAACAACAACAACAACAAAAAAACAACAACAAAAAAACAAAAACCAAACAAAAAAACTAAACCAAACAAAACCAAACCAAAAACCACTTCTTCAAACAACAAACAGCAACACTTTAATCTACATGGGAATGGAGTGTCCCTTCTCTGTCTTCTCTGACCGGTTATCTGCCAAGGGAACAGGCTTAGGGACATATTTAGATGAGAATGATCCCCCCATCCTGAAATCATCTGAGTTCTAGTGACTGGCCTGCAGCCTCTTTGGTTGGTCTGCAGTAACTAGCATTAATTCCTGTTGGCACAGATGCTCCATGGGGGAGCAGCTCCCTAAGAATATTCCTTTTTACTCTTCTTTCCTGTTTTGCTTTCTCTCACATCTGCTCTTCTCAATGGTTTCTTTGGTTTTCTTCTGGCTGTCTATGAGAATTCGGGGATTGGCAGAATAGGAGTGCTTGCTCGAAATGTCCTGTTACCCTCCTGACCACTGAGGCTATGTTGCTTGAAGTCAGTATAGATAGTTTCAGTGACGGGAGCGCTCTCTGGAATCACTGCACCATTTACAGGGAAGGGTTAGGAGGTTTCCATCCTTTCCCTTGCAGTTCTTCTGGACCCTCCTGTAGATTCCTTAGGGAGTGTCTGCAGAGGTCCGCCTTTTGAATATCCATTTGTCCATTCAGTATCTACTATGCCAGCCTGAGAATAGCTCTGACCGTGCTCAGTTCTTCTTTGCTCGAAAGTTATCCAAGTCTGCTCTGCCCTTTTGTGGTTCTATCTTCGCAAACTTGGGCTCTATCTTAGAGTCTTTGTTATTGTCACGATACCTATCTGGGTCATAACTTCAGTTCTGCCTCGTAATTTTTGCTTAAGAGGAAAGTTGGTAGAGGATGAGAAGATCTTCATCTTGTTCCTTCAGTTTCAACAACTTTTTGTTTTTCATATAGCTTCCTAGTCATTTTCCATATTAAGACCAGTATTCACCCTGTATTTCACAAGCTAATCCAGAAGGGTTTCATGCAGATCTTTCTGAGTTCAAGGCCTCATAGTAAGTTCTGAAACAGTCAGCGCTCAACAGTGAAAATTCGCCTCAAAATTTTTAAAAAAGGAATGCATAATAAATTTGTATATCATCTTTGCATGGGGGCCTTGCTAATCTTCTGTGTAGTGGTCCAAGTTTAGTACATGTGATGCCAAAGCGAGGACAGGACATAGATCTCTCCCTCTCTCTTTTTTTCAAGATAGGGTTTCTCTGTGTAACAGTTACAGCTGTCCTGGAACTCACTTTACGGATTAGGCTGGCCTCGAACTTAACTGAGATCCATCTGCCTCTGCCTCCCAAGTGCTGGGATTAAAGGCATGTGCCACCACTGCCCAGCTCACTGATCTCTTTTTTAAAGGAACCTAATGCTCTATTTCAAGTTGCTATGATTTTCTTCCTGTTCGGGCCTTCAACAGGTAAAGGTAACTGGTACTTGAGACTAAGATGAAGGGAGAAGTCTTGTAATTTGTAATCAAGATATTCTGCTGGAAAAGCTTGATAGCAGCCTGGCGGTGGTGGCACACGCCTTTAATCCCAGCACTCGGGAGGCAGAGGCAGGCGGATCTCTGTGAGTTTGAGGCCAGGCTGGACTGACAGCCTCCAAAACAATACAGAGAAACCCTGTCTCGTAAAAACCAAAAAAAAAAAAAAAAAAAGCTTGACAGCATTTCAATGAGTAGGAAAAATGTGTAGATTTTATGATTTCATTGAATACTTATTTTTCTGTGTTCATTTGAAATGCATGTCAATTTTGCCACTCTCAGTGTTACTAGTCTTCCATGATTTGTTCCTGGCATTTAATTAAAGACACAGAAGAACACTTATTAAATATGATACATAGATGTCATGCTGAGAACTAAGGCATGCTGCGCTCAGTGTTTTGTATAATATTATGAATATAGACAACTTCAATAAGCAGGAAAGGGAGCCTGGAGAGATGGCTTAGCATTTGAGAGCACATACTGCTCTCCCACAAGATCAGAGTTCAATTCCCCACACCCACACTGGCTGGCTGGTCCTCTGGCCTCCACAGACACCTATAGGCACATATGCACAGACCTACACAAGCACCCCATGTGATTTCAAAACAAAGAAACAAAAATTTGATTATGAATAAAATCACATGTAAGCTGATAAGTATATACAACATAATTTTGTCTGGCTATAAATAAAAATAAAGTTATGATGTTTTTCAGCACAATGAATGGAACTGGAATTCATTATGTCTGGGCTGGGCAAAGTGGCATACACCTTTAATCCCAGCACTTTAGAGGCAAAGACAGGAGAATCTCTGTGAATTCAAGGCCAGTCTGATCTACATAGTAAGTTCCAGGACACCCAGGGCTACATGGAGAAACCCTGTGTCCCTTTCCCCACCAAAAAGACTCAGGACAAACCCACATTTTCTCTAATATGTAGAGTTTAGATTTTAATTTTTATGTGTGTGTGTGTGTGTCTGTCTGTCTGTCGTGAAAGAAGAAAGGGGGTGTGCAAAGAGTAAAGGGGGCCTAAGGAGGACTGAGGAGGAGAGAGAGCCCAAGAATGCATGCAACCAAAAAGCAGAAGTGGGGTCACTGGGGACTGGAGTTGCAGGAGGAGAGCAAGGTTGGGTATGGAGGCTATGCTCGATGCAGTCTGGGGATATTGCTCAGCAGTAGGGTACTTGCCTAGCATGCATGAATCAGTGCATAGGACCAAAATGAAAATCAGAAGATGATACAACGTACATTTATTTATTTGAAATGATGGGAATCCTTTCAGGCACCACCCAGCCACATCCTTAACTACAAATAGTATTTTTGTTTGAATCAGAGTCTCATTAAGTAGCCCTGGCTAGTGGGGAACTTGCTCTGTAGACTAGGCTGGACTCAAACTCACAGAATTCTGTTTGCCTCTGCCTCTCAAGTACTGGGACTAAAGGCATTCGTCACCGTGCCTGGCTGATTGTTTTTGAGACAGATCCCCATTATGTACTCCCGGCTTGCCTGGAACTCCTATCTGCCTCTGCTTCCCGAATGCTGGCAACTCCTACCTGTTCTTCTCAGACAAGGTTGGTTGGACCTGTCCATACTGTAGAGAAGGTTCTCAGGGAGGAAAACACAGTTTGAGCTGCTCCTGTGCCATAACCATTCTTAAACTTTTGTTTACCTCTTAATGAGAGAAGACTGCTGTAACATCCCATGTAAAATAAGTTGCAAGGTTGAGATTGGACCCTGGAAGAAAAAATGTTTTTAAAAAGATCATTTTAACTCGAAGCTTCAAGCTGGGTCATCGAAGTAAAGAAAAAGAAAAAATTAGCTGATCTACATTCCTTTCTTGCTGAGGGTTAATGAAGGTCACATCACGGTCTGGCTTTAGAACAAAGCAACCATGAAGTAGCAGAACTGTCTTTATGGACTAGCCTTCTGTCCTAGGTCACTGCCAGCTTCTCCATGGCCTGATCCTCTGTATACAGCCAAGGCAGATTCACTGTAAACAGTGTTCACCCTTCCCAAATTTTATTATACAGCTTTCTAGACCCCTTAGGATCAGTGGACACTATTTTTAAATTGCTAACTGGTCATGATACTAGTGGCTAAAGAAATCCATTCCAAGAGCTAGGCCTCCACATTTTGCCTGCAATCTGTACAGCTCAGTAATCTTTCTATTTGCAGGGACATCTTTGTATTATTGTTTTGACTTATCTCTGCTGCCCTTTCCTCCCTCTGCTTCTGCTTCTTCCTCTTGTCCTCCTCCTCTCCCTCCCCAGTCTCTTTCTTGTTGTTTTAGTCACAGTGGAGAATAGATTTTCCAGGAGAGAATGTGTGATCCCAACTGTTATCTCCCAAGTACCCTTATCTCTCTGTAAGGCTTTCTATTTCATAACTTCCCAGAGCAGTTTCTTTGAAGTTAGCTCTGCCATCATTATATAAACACCCCCAGAGGAAATCTACTACCTAACAAAGCACTCCGAATTTTCCCAGTGTGCATTCAAGGCACTTGAACACATGGATCCAGGTTATGTTTGGAGCCCTATCTCCCAAGTGCCCTGTGCTTTTGGAAAGCTGCATATTGCCCTGCTTCCTTAAGGAACCCCTGCATTACTTGTATGCCTCTTTAGCAGGCTGGGGATTAAATGGTCAGATTTTTGCCCTTTGAACATATGTGATAACAGTATGCATTTGATGAACTCTTTGAAGGGGTATTAGAACCATCTCTTTAAAGATGTAGAAACTGAGTCTCAGGAAGTCTATGCATCAGTTTTTGTCTTTGGGGAAGACCCCAGGCTTACAGAGTAAGGAGACTTGATGATGACTTGGTAGTGACCATGAGTGGTATTATTTTGCTCTATGACACTGAGAAATGGATAAGGAGCTCTCTTACATTGTGTAGTATTATTTCATTTTTCATAGATATTTAAATGACACAGGTTCTTTGTAGAACTCTTGGAACATACATGAAAACAGAAAGATGCAGGAATGAACACCCCACCAGGAAACCCACAATTAAAATAGTCTACCCCTTTCTGGGATTTGCTGACACCTAGTGGTGGGTGGATACATTAGGTCCGGCTAGGGAGAAAAAAAATTCTGGTTCCCTTTTACTCTGGCCCCAGCCTAAACCTCCTGTGCTGGGATTACAGGCATGAGCTACCATGTCTGGATTGATTTTCAAAATTCCATTCAAAGTACACAGATTATAAATAGACACCTTGATAACTCTCCCAAAACAAACATATTTGTCTGGCTAGAAACCAAATTAGGAAAGAGACCATTTCTAGCATCCTATACATCACATAGATGTCCTCTTCCCCAGTCAGGTGCAGTCATTGTTTGAACTTAAGAAACCATAGATCAGTTTTGTCTTTTTTTTGAACTTTATTTAAATGGAATGATCCAGAAAGTACTCTTTTGTGTCGGCCCTTTTCACATTCATCATTATCAGTTCATTAATCATCCATCTGGTTGCATGAGAATATAATTTATTCACTATTATTGCTGTATAGTGATTTATTGCCTGAATATTATGAGGAATAAAAAATTCGCCATTGGTAAAATAATAAGACAAAATTAGTGAGAATATAAGATTCTTGACTAGCATAATTCATTATGTTAATATAACTAATGAATACACAAATCTACACTCTAAAATTAGATAGTATACTTTCTCTTTAGAAATGAAAATTCTACAAAATTGACAAAGAATGTAAAGCATGTCTTGACAAGGTGCAAAACTTGAAATAGCATAGATCATATTCTCTGACCATTATGACATAAAGTTAGAAACTAAGCACAAACCTAGAAGTCACTGTGTGCTTTGAAATTGAGATGTATATTTCTTTTGTTTTTTATGTGCATAAGTGTTTTGCCTCTGTTGTATGTTTGTGTACCACGTGCAAACCTGGTACACAGGGATGGCAGAAATGTGCATCGGATCCTGTGAGACTGGAGTTATAGACAGTTGGGAGCCTCCATGTGGGTACTGGGAACTGAACCTGGCTCTTCTGGAAGAGCAGTATGTGTTCTTAACCTCTGAGCTCCAAGAAATATATTTCTAAATAAGTTATTGTTCACAAAAGAAATAAAATAGATATTTGAAAACATTTTTAGCTGAGTGATAAATGAAATCATGACATATGAAAATTTGTGGTATATGAAATCCAGGCAGGCCTTTTTTGTGGGGTAGAAATTGGCAGGTTGATTCTAAAATAGCCTTGAATAGTCAAAAGCATTTAGGGAAAGAACAAAATTGAACTACTCACAGTATCTGATTTTGAAGCTTTCTGATAAGCACAGATATCAAGAATGTGGTTTGGAGGACTAGATAGGCATACAGATCAATGAGCCAGAATGAAGAGTACAGAATTAGATCCACACATTTGGTCAACTGATTTTAAATAAAGGCATCAAGATAACTCAGCAGAGAAAGAGAAAAATCTTTTCAAAAGTTGTGGTGGAACAAATAATTTGACAGAGATATGGAGATGAATAAACCTTGATTCAATAGCTTATATGAATGTGTCACCAACCTAAATGTAAAAGCTTAAATGACAAAGTGTATAGAAATAATAAAAATCTTTTTTTATCTTTTGTTAAGACACAGAGAACCAAAACCATGCATATCCAATAAACTGGATTTATCAAAATTAAAATCTTCTTCTCAAGACGCTGTGAAGAAAATGAAA